AAAGACAAATTCACGGGATGCAACTTTTACTGAAATTCATTTACATATAGCTCTTCCATAAAAATTACCACAACACTTGTGTAACTCTGTCAAATTGTGATTTTAAAATATCTCCTAAAGCCTAACTTTTGTACATTATTATCTTAGAATGTGTCTGAAGACGATACCATCATTTGTGGTGATCGTATCAATGTATCTAGAAAAGAACCAACATTTCTATAATGTAATTTTAACAGATAATAAAAATACTTTTTGTCTAATCTGTTGATGCAGTGCAAATTAGTATTTTTTAACACTGTTGTATAAATAGTAGTATAATTTTAAAAACTAGAAGATAGTAAGGAAGTTAAGTCAAACGAACTGTGGGAGAACTGTGAACTGTGAACTGTGGGAGAATATTAGCATATTGCTATTTGTCCAAAGTTACTAGACAGGATTGGTTTGTAAGTTAGTATTTTTCAGAATAGTATCTTTCATACTTTCTTCTTTTTTACAAGTGCATATTTCTTACAAAATATGCACTGTTTATTCAAAAACCAGTGCGCATGCGTCTGATATTTTTCATATGCCATTATCGTTGGTGGAAGGCATGTGTCATGTAGTGAGATGTTTTAGAATTCTACTCATAAGCTGGAATATTAACTTTTAATGAAGTCTGGCTAATATTCAGATCAGGAATGCTATGATTCTATGTTCATGTAATGATGCTTTTCTTAATTTGAATCATGATATTGAGGATTGGGTTAGATTATTTAAATTATGGCAAAGCACTCAAGGGCTATCTGCCTGCAATCTATGTGCCTAATCTTAAGGCAATAAACTTCCAGTTCCATAGTTATTTGATCTTATTTTACTTCCAACATTCGTACAAAAGCACTAAATTGAGTATATTAATTACAGATATGTTATGCAGTAATATGAGAATGAGTCATTTTGTCAGTGATTACAGTCAAGCTTATAATTTTATTAGCATTGCAGATAACTAAATAAAGGGCAAGCTAAGTAAAGTAAAACTAAAGGGCAAGATTTAAATAAAATAATAATAAAAAAAAAAAAATAACAAAACTTAAGGGGAGGAATAAAACATTTTTCTGCAAAATTTACAAAACTAAGTAAAGGAGTAAGTTTATGAAGAGGTAAGAAGTTACCTTATTTTTACAAATTGTCTGCAGCAGTACTAAAATTGCTAACTTCACAATTCTGGTATTAAAAAAAATTAATATAAAATATAATGCTATATTCAACATTTATTCAAAAGTTTTGACTAACAAGAAATACCATGTTTTAGCATCTTACTCAAAATATTTTGGTACAAGTTGTACAAAATTTCAAATATATATATATGATCTGGCAGTGTTTAAGAACGATGTGTAATTTTTGTGACAATTTTATCGTATTTTTGCGTTTAAAGGGGGAAAGAAAAAAAAGTTGAGCAGTTGTCATTAATTTCAGTAGCTATATTAACCCTTTGTTGCATAATGTCCACTGTAGTGGACAAAAGTTAAAAATTTTTCACTCTTCTGTAAATACCTTAACAGATTTCGTTCCTGTGTTTATTCATTGTATATCATTAGAACTTTCAACTATCTATCATAGATGGCAACACAGCATCACTGAAAAAAGTATTGCTATTTGGAAAATGGCTGCTACTTCTGTTTCCTGATTAGTAAGATTTCTCATAGTAAACATTATATAATATCGCTTAAAATTTCTTATACTGCCATTTTTTATTCATAATTCGTAATTTTAGACATATTACTTGAAATGTGAGTTTGAAAAAAATGTTGAGAAGCTAATTTTATTGAGATAAAAGGGGCATTTTTCTTTTGTCTACTACAGTAGATGTCATGAAAACAAGCTAAGGTAAGGTAGTTTTACTCTGTCTCCTGTAATGGACATCATGAACTAAATCTAATGCAATTTTAAGACATTATGGTAGGAGGAATTTTACAAAAATTCTATGTTTCAAACAGAAGAGAGTCTCATGGCTGGAACAATTTATTTTAAATAATTTGATTTAAGCAAGCTATTAATTAATTAGATAATAAAACAAAGTATATCAAAAATAAAGTAAATAAAGTATATAGCCCAAAGATGCAAAATGGAGTTATGCTCCAGAAAATCAACATATTCATGCATAAGACTGAAAGTGTATTTGTGCATTGATGGAAAATCTGATTGTTTTTATTGTTTTCACCATCAAGATGGTTAAAAAATAATCATAAAGATATGTTTATACATGTACATATATGCATGCTGTAGTGGACAAACTGTAGCAATTATTTAAAACGCAAATTGTTTTTATTGTTTTCACCATCAAGATGGGTAAAAAATAATCATAAAGATATGTTTATACATGTACGTATACGCATGCTGTTCATTGTAGTGGGCAAACTGTAGCAATTATTTAAAATGCAATTTGAATAATTTTTTTTTATTATTACTAAGCCTATTTTAAGTGGGAAAAGTGCAAACATTTTCGTTAAACTTTTCCAGATTATTTATATGCAACAAAGGGATAACTGGGGGAGGGGGGTTAAATCTGACTCATTAGCTCAATACCTATTAGTGTAATTATATTGTAGTTCAAGTTGTTTTATTGAATTTAAAGTTTTGTTTGCATGCTTTGTTCTTTTATATAATAAACTTAATCACTGAAGTTTAACAACCAATAAAATTTCAAGCATGAGCTAATACACCTTTTTACAAATATGTGTCTAAAGCTTCACTAACAATGTTCCGCATACTTATAGCTGTAGTAATACACTGACTGCCAATAAGTATTTGGACACCTATGCAAATGACGATATCTGCGGTCCTAAGGTACGTCACGGACTCCGCCTGTATATATCGCGTAGGAAACAGCGTCGGGTTTAGTCGCATGCAAGATGCCTCGCAGTTCGGAGCTCTGTGATTTCGAGAAAGGTATAATTATCGGTATCACAAATGTGGCCGATCCTTAAGGGACATATCTAGCGATCTGAAGTACCCAAAATCGACAGTGGCCTATGTGATTATTAAGAGGTGGAAGGTGGAAGGTGAGAGGTGATTGTCGGAATGTGCCCCGAGTCGGCAGACCAACGAAACTGGGAGATAGAGACCGACGAATGCTGTTCAGAGAAATTCGGAAGAACTGCACCCAACCGATGGCCCTCATCCGCGAGGAGTTTCAGCAGGCATCCGGGAGTATTGTTTCAAAGAATATCATCCGTAAGGAAGCACATCTGCTTGGTTTCATGGTCGTGCTGCTGCCCATAAGCCTTTGATCACAAAGTCTAACCGCGCTGCTCGGTTAATGTGGTGCAACGCACATCAAAATTGGACCGTAGATCAGTGGAAACGGGTTCTTTAAAGTGACGAATCAAGGTTCACCCTTTACCGTTCGGATGGCAGGGTCTGGGTCTGGCGTCTACCTGGAGAACGTCTCCTGCCAGAATGCATTGTGCCAACAGTCAAGTTCGGCGGAGGTGGAATTATGGTCTGGGGGTGTTTTTCCTGGTATGGGCTGGGACCCTTGGTCCCCATTCATGGTAAGCTCAATTCCGATGCCTACTGCACTATTTTGGATGACAATTATTAAAAATTAGTGTTGTGCTTCCTACGTTGTGGCAGTTTTACAGCTTGGACCCCTGTTACTTTCAGGACGACAATGCCAGTTGTCATGTTTCGACGTTAACCAAGGCTTGGTATGGTGCCAATGGAGTTCATCGAATGGACTGGCCTGTCCAGATCTGAACCCTATCGAGAACCTCTGGAACGAGTTGCATCGCTGAATTCAGGGATGCACTACCCATGCAAAATCGGTGAAGGAACTTCTATGTCTTCTCCAAGCCGAGTGGAAGAAAATACCACTAGCTGTCATACAAAGACTTGTGGAAAGTATGCCCCAGAGGGTCCACGCTGTAATTACCTCTCGTGGAGGTTCTACCAACTATTGATTTTTAATAGAGTTAGTTTTTCTTTTCTATCACAGGTGTCCAAATACTTATTGGTAGTCAGTGTATTATGTCTTCATTTGGGGAAGGGGGGGGAATTCTTTGTAAAGATTGACTTCAAGCAGTTGCCACTACAGGCTTGCCTTGATATATGTGTCTAGGAAATCATTAGATTCATGTAACAAAATTAGTCTTATTATTTGTATAAATAAGATAATTAATTAAAAGTAATAAATATTTCCACTTTGAATTTAAATTTTAGCTTATACAGTACAAAGTCCGTAATCCGGGCTTGTCAAGACTTCGGCGATTCTGGATTAGGGGTTTTTCCGGATTATAGATCATCAATTTAAATCTGGTAAGATGGCATGCAGAAATTATACAATTAAAAATATGAAATAAAGATGATGATCAATTATGATCTAAAGGGTATCAAAATTTACAAAAAAAAAGCTTAATATTTATTTGTTTACTTTATTAAACATTTCTTTCAATGTAAGCTGTTTAAGTTGCTTCGTTTTTTTGTGCTAATACTTTCTCTTTAATTCTATAAACAGACATAATTTCTTGTTCAGTTACAAAAGTTCCACTGTTCAAGTCCTATAATTGCCGAGTCGAGAATACCGACTAACTTGTTAATCGAAATTTTTTTGTTTTCAATAACCTCTCTGTCACTTTTTTCACTATTGGAAGCGTGCGTGGGTAAACGCTTTACGCGCATGCGTAAGTTTATGGCTTTGAGGTCCAGATTATAGATCATTCCAGATAATGGATGTCCGGATTATGGACTTTGTACTGTAAGCAGATGTAAGATTGGCACTGTAAGCAGGAAGGTGTGTGTTTTGAAATACATAAGCTTTATTTTTCACCATTTTTCAGATCTTTTCCAGAATGTTTTGTAAACTTTTAACATCTGTAATAAATTTCTATTCATCACAATTCAGATTGCTCATGCTTAAGTATTAAAAATTAATTATTACTGCTAAAAAGATTGCAGAGTGATAAGCATGTGTTTGCTTTGTTTCGTGTGCATGCTTGATGCTTGATTTTCTTTTCCTTCCTTTCCATGATGACTTATTTCACTCACCTGTCCTCTCAATGTGGCTTGTGTTATTCCCTTTGTTTCAGAATAATTTAGATACAAATGCAGTTCAGCGAGAGGAAAAAACAGCTGCTAGTAAAGTTGTTGCTGAATCTGCTGTCAAATCATCTCCAAAGGTAACATTTTCACCCTTATGGATTTTGAAGATTTTAAACTAATAAACTGGGTGTGTTTTTGTTATTCTTGAGTGTTTCCTGTGCTTGTTATTGTGCCTGTGTAAAAGGAATACATGTCTTGTCCATATTTTTACAATATTCTTTCATTTTTTTTAATTGAAAAGTGTCGCTCCCTAATTTAACATAAAATCTGACTGAACTTTTAACTTAAGTTTAAGAGGGTAATTTTATAAAGCAAGAGAATAAAAGATACACATAAAGGATGTAGCTCCATTATTTACATCACTGATACACTTGATCAGCAGTACTAGTTATTGTAGTTCACTTGCAATTAGCAGTGTCACTTGCTAGCATCATTATCATTAACTTATTATATTTTACTATATGACATTTTTATAATTTGTTCTTTTGACATTTTATCGTACACTTTGAAGCCTATTTTTAGCATTTTCTTGTGTATTTAAGCTAAAAAAGAGAAAAGTGGATATATTTTTTGTAGGTTTTAATTGACTATATTTCAATTCAATAAAAATTTGTTCATTGCAACAAGTTTTGCAAAAGCATATCACATTTAAATGTGAATGATTTATGCAAAATTTGACTTGCATATAAAGCACCAGGTAAAATAATCCTTATAAGTGATAGCAGCAATGATTCTGGTTTATGGTGAGAAATATTGTTGAATTTCAGTGAGCTGAAACAGGAAGGAGGAAGAAGAAAGAATTGAAAGGAATAAAAAAAAGTAAAGCGGAATTTTTCACAAATTATATTAAAAAATTATTTAGTATTCTGCTTAGCTGTGCATATGAATGCAGTGAGACCTCTATAAGTCACAATTTCAAATGACTGTAGTCATCTCTGGGATTGGTCACTTTAGAGAAGTGATTTCCAGTTAATTTATGTTCTCAGAAATATTCATCTGTAAGAGAAGGTTGTCATGGGAGAAACCACTGTACATTTAATAAAATAGGATAGAAGATATTCTGTACATCGGCATCTGTGATAAAAAGAATTTTGATTTCAAATAAATGTAAAAACAATTGGTTGATCCAATTTTCACTTAAAAATAAGCATTATAAAAAAATATAGCAGTAAACAGTATAAAATGGATAGTCCGTAATGAGATAGTGTAAGTAATAGTGCCATAGTGTAAATAATAGTGTCATGAGATGATATGTAAGATGATAGTAGTATAAAGCTAATAAAAATTGTTCATTACGCTTAGTAATTTTTCTTTACAGAAATGTTAATGTAATCTGTGTAACCCCTTCCAAATAATCTAAAGATTTTTTTTTTTTTTTGAAAGAGAAATGTGTTTTAAAATGTTATCAAAATATAAAAGCGCACATTGTTTCTTAATTTCAGATAAAATGTACAATTTACATGCAATAGTATTTTTAATATGAATTAAAAATTTTGTCAAGTATTTCAGTATGTACAAAATGAAGAATGTGATTGGGTATAAAGGTTGACACTAAAAGACTTAGAAAGCAGTCAATTATAAGGTTTCTGTAAACGAGGTTTTTTTTTATCCCCACTGAAACAACAGCTGTTCCACTATAAAAAAAATGTAGCTAATTATCCAACAAGTAGATGGAAGTAACTATTGATATTATTTATTATTTCAAAATATAGCTCGTACAAACATTATTCAATATGCAATCATATTAATTTTGATGTAATACTGCAATTTGAAATAATAAAAAAGAAGGAAGATTAAAAGGTTTTGGACTTGACCATCGCATTTTGGAGTTTGATCGTGACTTACAAAGAAAATATTTTGGTATCATTAAAAAATAAAATAAATAGTAAAGGAATTTGACTTAATATGGAAAGTTAATTATTGTGAAGATATATGATTAACATAGTAGACACAATATATACTAATTTTTTATTTTGTTTTTAGCCAAAATAAATTTAAATTTACTGTAATATTAAACTGTGTAAAAAGTGCATCAAAGTTCTCATTAAACTTTTGAGAAATTTGCAGTGAAAGAAGCTTTTTAGCTGGAACTATGGTACCTCTCTTAACTGTAATAAGAATTCACTAGAAGAAAGTAATTTTTCTTTTAATTATTACTAACTATGTTGACCTTTATTTTAGAAAATGTTATGTGTATTCTTTAAATAAGAAAGCCTTTAGAAGCTATTTTCATGTATATTAAGTAATAGCTATTTTTAAGTTCATTTTTTTATTTATTCTCAAAGTATAAAATATGACATGAGTATCAAAAATCTGATGTCTCATATCTCAGGCTGCATTTCTATTCATGTATTATAGCAATTAAGAAATTAACAATAAATTTTTACCCTTTTAAAACAGTGAAATATTACCGTTCATTTTTGAAAGCATTACTAGAAAACATAAACATTAATCAGCTGCCACACAAATTTTTTCTCTTTTCTCCTTTTATCTTAGCCTCTTTTTTTTCTTCGACATTTTGAATCATATTAATCAATATGCTGATATCACTTAATGCTAGAAATTATGACTAAAATAAGTAACTTATGCCATAAAGCTCATTCATCTCAGTCTTAAACTATCAAAACGGTTCACAGAGTGCAAATCCAAATTTGATCGTGATAATAAGGCTTATAACATCCTATGGAATGTATTATTTGAACCATAAAATCCATAGTTTTAAGTATATTAAAATATTATCTTGTTTCCCAAAATAAAAGTTTAAAATTTTAGGGTTCCATTTTAAAATTACTTCACAAATTGTTGTCATCCAAAAGAAAAACAAAGAATAATTAAATTAAACATTTTAATATTTTCATGTATTGAGTTTGTATTTTTATGTATTAAATATACTACGTGTGTTTTATGTGTGAATATACTAAGCTCATATAAATTTTGTGATTAAACATACCAGAAGAGAAAGGGGGATTTGAACCTTTTTTTTTACAACTCCAAGCAATTTTTACCAAGTTGAAGATACCATTAGTAAATCTGGGTATGCTCATTGTCTGGATACTTTCATTAGTGTGCATTCCAAATATTAAAAACAAGTATGGCCTTACTTAACACTCTTTCTAAACGTACGTGAACTGCCAATTGCGTCCAAGGAAACATTTTTTTTTTTTTTTGTGTGTGTGTGTGTGTGTGTTCGCCTGTTCTAATATATCTTATGCTTTTAAGCAAAGTGCATGTAATTATTTTTTTGTATGGCACGAGTAGCTGTTAAATGTAAAAATGAAATCAGTATGGAATATGAAGTGTAAGGTCAGTCACTAAACAGCTTGGTAAAAGTATATTTACGGGTATGCCTTGGTGAAAATTGGCGATTTTGGGCCATTCATGGATACTAAGTTTGTGCAATTCTTTGACTTGTTATTTTGGCTTGTGTAGCGGGCCAAAAATTGCCACTACACAAAGCCAGAATGATAAGACAAAGAATTGCACAAATTCGGTATCCATGTACACATCAACCTATTTTCACATAAAAAAATCGCAGAATTGCACAAACTTGGCATTGCGCACTTCCTTGACTTTATCCATGTACACATCGACTTATTTTCACTTAAAGAAAATCAGAGAATAGCACAAACTAGGCTTTGCGCTCTCCCTTAACTTTGTCCAGGTACGCATTGAACTGTATTCACTTAAAAAGTCAAAGAAGCAGTCAACAAAAAAAATATATAATCTCAATAAACTACATTTTAAATCAACCAATGAAATAACAAAAAAGGAAATTCATCTTTGCACTACACAAAGGAAATATCCACTTAACCATATTTACGAATTAACACGTCTTCAGTCAAATGAAATTCCTCAACAGCATCCAAAAAACTTCCTAAAATTATCTGAACTAGAATCTCTGTACAGGTGTCGCCAAATAAATTCACAAAATAAGAGTAAAAAATATCCTCCTTAGTGCCGTATCGTCCGACCATGTGCATTTCCTTCCTATGAACAGGACACTTTATAATGGCTACTAAGTAAACCTTCATTTACACATCAGTCAAGAAATGCTCTTTTCCCCTTTCTTTCCAAATTGTACAGAAACTTCTAATATATAACTACGACTTCTAATATATAATCTACCACATTCGGTCATTTTTCCATCTAAACCAAGAAACAAACAATGTACTTCCAACACACACAACAAGCCCTTACAAATTCACTGCAATCATGCAACTGATTATGTCATAATATGATTTCCATAACATTCAACTACTCAGCCCACATAATTGAACTACCACTTGGCAATAAATGAAACAACAACTTTGCGATAATACAATGGGTACCCTTCTTTCCACTCTAACCAACAGTTTTTAGCACATTTTTGTGACATTTTATTTTAGCATTGCTTTTTCTAATTTTTTCCCCCTGAAGTATCCGTTTAAGGAAACTCATCTTTATTTGAAACTGACTTTTTATTCTGTGGGTTTAAAATTAACTGTATCTGAAGTGGAGGATCAAGGTCAGGTTCATCCACTATGAAATTAGCTTAAATTTGTTTGTTTTCTGTTAAATTGTTCCCCTGTGCCTATTTCTGATAAAAGGGAAGAGGAAACTTAAAAAAGTGAAATTATTAATACAGTGTTTGTTATGGCTAAAATTTTGAATCATTGCATTTTTTGAATAATTGAAAGAATTAGTTTTTGTAGAAATATAACATGCTTTTAATTTTGATTTGCGAGATGGAATATGTTACTATAAGTGTAATTAATCTTTGTGCATTGAAACTGAATGATCAAAATTCTTTTTTTTTCTGTATAATATGTGTAGAAAATGTATGTAATTATAAGTTAACTGAATTGTATAAAAATGAATAATTGATTAAATACTTGCTTTGACATAACATACAATACTAAGTCTGAGATCCAAAATCAACCGAACTTATGCAATTCTGTATTTTAGATCATCACTTTAAATAAAGTGGACATGTAGACATGGCAACACTGGGATTTAGGTCAGATAGAACAGGGGGGAAGAGAATTTTTTTTATTAATTAATTATTTTTAGGCTGGTGGTCAGATATGCAGATTTTGGACTTTTTACAGTAGAAATTAAATCTATTTAACGCAAGATTGATGGCATTTGTATCTTTTTATATCTAGTTATTATTTGTAGATTATAGGATTTTTTAAAATTCTTTATTATTTTTGTGAATAACACATTACCAACCTTGTTTGGAACCTGTGGCTTACATCCTTATTTGATTAGTACTTAATATATTTGTGCTCCACTTTTCAGATTTCATACAACCATCATACCTATCTCTTCTTCACTATATGTTTCCATTGTCTACCTTCTGTATGCAGCAATTTTATTTACTTTAAAATTAGTGGGAAATGATTTGCATAGTCACTTCATACCTAGAAAATTTTTTAATGATGTAGCTGAAGTAATGACACTAAATTGCTAAATAAAGATTTTATTTTCAGATGACTAAGAATATTACTATGCAAAATGTAATATTAAATACACAATTGAGCAAAATTAAAAGTAGTGGAAAAATTATTATTAGTATTTCTATTTTAATAAACATTTGAATATAATGTATAGTATTTTGGAATAACATTGCACAAATTCAAACATGCAGTTAGATTTAGTCCATTTAGAGAAAGCCTATGATGTGTGTAGTGTAATTAATTACATGAATGTAAGTGAAACTCTTCAGAGGCAGTTTTGTATGAAGATGGTGAGTATTGATAAAAGGTGCAAAATAGGAGCATATACAGATCTACAATAACAAAACCAAAAACAACAATAAGAGTATTGCTTAAATTTAATAAAAAGTGTAAAATGAGATATACGAGGTGGAAAAAAAAAAGTCTAATAAATCATTGTACAGAATCAGTTCTCCGTGACATCATCGCCTTCAAAGTAGTCCCCTTTAGCATTCATATACTTCTGCATTTGGTGCTGCAATTTCTGGTAGCAGTTCTGGAACAAGGCTTTTGGAAGGCCTTTCAGGAGATTCTCCGTTTTTGCCCGAACATCTTCAACTGAGGTAAAATGGGGTCCCTTTAAGCAAGATTTAAACTTGGGAGAAAAAAGGGGGGAAGGGAAAGGAAAAGTTGCATGGAGCCAAATCAGGTGAATAAGGAGAATGCCTCATTACAGTAATGTTTTTACTGGTCAGAAACTGCTTGACAGATAGGGCCATGTGAGCGTGTTCGTTGTCCTGGTGCAACAGCCATCCGTCACTCCACAACTGTGGCCTTTTTCTCCTAATTTCTTCATAAAGTACTTCAATGTAGTAGTGTTTATTAACAGTTTGACACTGGAAATTCACTCAGTCATTACAATTCCAAACAGTTGTTGCCAACTCCACTCTTTTTTTTCAAGCTACACACTTAGTCTTTTTTTGTGTGTGTGTGTGTGCGTATGTGTGTCACACTTCGTATATTGCAAAACTATAAAATTGTAGAATGCCAGAAAAACTTTTTTACTTTGAAACAAAATTCATTTAATACAGAATAGGATGATCTGTTATAATTGTAGTATAATAACAGAATTAAATCATTTAGAACATCTTGGTTCAGTGGATCCCATTATTCAAGATTTGTTTGGTATAATTCATAAATGGTCATCAGCTGAGATGCTTCTAAACATTACTGTGGTTCAGTTCTGGAAATAACCAATGTATTCTTTAAACATCTTCAATTTGAAGAAAGTTGCTGATAAGTGTAGCTCTTTGCAAATGAGCATTATTATTTAATGGCAAATTAGTAAAAGATTTTTTATATATAAAAAAAATTAAAAAAATCCTTACATTGGGGATACAAGGTGATGTAAGAAGATTCACGTTATCTTTCTGGAATATATGCAAGAGTGTATGGTAACAATCATCGTTAGTCATACAATATATTGTCAAATTTTACTCACATATATATGCAGTAAAATCTCTCATGGAAGTCATTTCACATTGATAGGCACCTATGTAAGTCATAGTATTTTTTAGAACGTAAATAAACATTGGTGTTGGTATCTATAAATTCAAAGATGACTACTTCTTATTCCTAATGAGATTAATAAGTATTTATTAAGACAAACACAGAAATAACTTAATTTTGATAGGAAACAAATATTTTATGCAATTAGTAAATTAAGAAATCATTAAATGCATTCTAATTTTTTACATTTATAACAAAATTACTAGTATCAAACTGAATAAGTAATGGACATTTCTGAGTCATTAATTATTTTTTAGCAGGGAGTAATTTATTGTGCAGTCTTCATTAGGCAGTTCTAATGTCATATTTTATAAATGATTAATTACCTTCCTGTGCTTATTCCTTATATTAAAATTCAAGTAGATGAAGCAGTGGAAGGAAGTAATTCAGAAATGCTAGCTGAAATGGGCTGGCAAAGTAAACTTTTCAGTTGTACAAAGATATTAAAATGGCTTGATTTGAGGAACTTAAGCCGAAAATTGCCATTATGTAAATCGTAAAATAATTTGTATTCCATGGTAAAATCGTAAGTCACACAAACATGAAATGGAATATATAACTTTTAATAGAAATGTTTTTTTTTTTAATTGATTTGAATGGCAAATTTTTGCTTGCAACTTTTTACTTAATGTGAAGAGGGAGATTTAATGTGTTTTGGGTTGGTCAACCAATCAGAAAGAAAGGCAGGTCGGGGAATTTAACTAAGTTAAATTCCTGAGAGCAAATATTCCTTGAAAAATTGTGTTTGATGAAATATTCAGGAACTTGGTTGTGAGAGCAATCTACACCAGTTGCCTCTTCGAAAGCCTAGAATCTTCAAGAAGTATAGCTTGTCATCTTAGACAGGTGTCACTGCTTGTACTTTGAGCTCTTGTAATAAGTAGACATTTAATTTTTAACTTTCTTTGTCTGAAGAGCATTTTGTAGTATGTAGGTTTTTGCTGCTTAATCAATTGTTTTTTATTAGGCTACTAATGTGGAAGCTGAAGTCAAAAAGCTTGCAGAAGAAAACAAAAGGCTCAAGGAAGAAATTCAGCAAATGAAACAAGAAAATGCACAATTGAAAGTATGTATCTTTTAAAATTACTTGTGGAAAATTTTTGTGTTGTATTTCTGGTATTCATTTCCCGCTTTCTAAGTGAAATAAATATCATATTTAATCATGCAAGAGAAGGTAAAAATTCATAATAATAATATTTTTTGGCTAATAGAATTTAAATAAGTAATATTGAAAAAAACTTTTTATCTAAAAAGTGTTTTCAATATTACTTACTTAGCATGGGAAAAAAATCTTATTTGATTGATTCTATAACAACATATGTATTGTCTTTCTCTCATCGCTTCTGCTGAGTCAATAAACATCTTCGTTAAACTTGCTGAAATTATGCATTGGCCATCCCATCCTGCCTCTTCATCTTCTGGTGAACATCTGCTAATGTTGCCAGATGTTGAAGACGTATGATTCCATTTTTCACTATCCAAATTAAATAATGCTTGCTCTTTGCACATTTTTAAATAGACAGCTGTCTTAATTAATTGCTGACATAATATATTTCCCGTCAGACCTGTGTTTACTGATTCTTGAAATTGTTGTGTATTACATATCTACAGGGTGTCCTAGGATTATTGGGATAAAATTTAAGGGAAGGTAAGGGACATCACAAGGATTTAGATTTGCATAGGAACCCCATGGTCGGAAACATTTTTGTTTGGTGCTGGGTTTCATTGTTCACAAGAGCATTGGAAAAAACAGGCCTGTATTGCTGCAGTCATTTGAACTGCCATCACCCTCAGAGGATTATGGAACATTTTATGAACAATAACTGGCAGATATGCACCTTATTTATGGATTGACAGAAGGAAATGCACAAGCAGCAGAAAGATTGTATATTGGAAGGTACTCAAAGAGAGATGCACTGGACTGCCAGTTGTTTACTAATTTGCATCACATTTTATGTGAATATGGATCATTACGAGGTAATGGGCGTAGTGAGGGTGGACCACAAGCAGCTCAGATTCCCAGGCTAGAACAGAATGTGTTGGATACCATTCGAAGGAATCTGAATACCAGCGTATGAGCCGTTGCTGCTGCCATTGGAGGATTCCTCATGTTTTGCTATGAGAAGGCTTACACCCATATAATCTTTGAAGATGGTATAGGTGTAACCCTATACCATCTTTGAGATGGTATAGATGTAACCCTATACCATCTTTGAAGCAGATTATCATTGCAAAATAATGATATAATTCCATAAAAAATTAGCTTCTTATCATTGCAAAAATCAGAAAGTGAAAGTAAACTGTAATGTAAAGGTTTACACCCATACCATCTTCGAAGAGTACTGTCATTGCTCCTTATAGATCATCCTGAGCATGTGTGTTTTGCATGGTGATATCTTAACCTCTGTCGCCAAGAAGCGCATTTCCCATCTTCCATTTTATTTATGGATGAGCCATGCGTCACTCGTGATGGTGTATTCAACCACCATAATGCACATTTATGGGCTGACGAGAATCCCAATGGCATGAGACTATATACTGCCTGCAGCGCTTTTGAGGGCATGTTTGGGCTGGTGTGGTCGGCGATCTCTTAGTCAGGTCTTATTTGTTGTCAACACCTCTAACATCAAGGATTATCTCATCTTTGAGAGGTGCTACCAAGCTTACTTGCCCCTTTGCCACAACATGTCAGACCCCATGTGTGGTGTCAACATGATGAGGCATCTCCCAATTATGGCATATGTGTTCATGAACATTTTAATCAGGTGTTTGGTCACCAGTGGTGTGTGGGGGCCTGGTTTCCTGGCCACCACACTCTTCTGAATTAAGCAACATAAATGTATTTTTATGAGATGCACTGAAAAGTGCTGTGTACGCAACATCTATGGCTTTCAAAATGGATCTGGTTGCCATAATCGTCTGTGCTGCTGTGGATATTTAACATCCAGGTATATTTAAGAGTCTGCCAAATCCATGCTCCAACGGTGTAATGCATGCATCACTAACAATTGTGAAAACTTTGAACATCTTTTGTGACATTTTCACAAATTGTCTATCACAGCACATGTAATATCTTTGACCAATAAATATTTCAGATGATCGCTTTTGTGTCTATTCGTTTCTTGTACTTCTCATGCTACTTTCCCTTGACATTTATCATTAAAAAAGTATTTTATTTCTGTCTGTTACACAATAACCCATAAATATAGCCATTTTTTTGTGTGTGATTATTTCATATAATTGCAAATTTTAATTGTCATTTGTAAAACTTAGTGAAAGGAAAATAAGTGGCTTGATAGAGTTCTAAAGTAGTTGTTGGTTTTCAGCTCTTTTGATCATCCGTATCTTTAACTGTAAAATTATTGAGGATATTGAAAAGTACTGTGTCTAAAACTGTGACAGCATATCATGATTTCGGCCAAATATGTCTGTAAAGCACAGTTGTGTAAGAAAAATGAAACACTGACAAAGCCAGAAAGATGTTGATGTAAATTGTTATTTTAGAAAGGAACACTGCTTTGAAATAGATGAATATACTAAGCTTAATATGCATCCACATTATCTATTTTCTAATATTATATTTTTTTCTTAATATGCATTCATAGTATCTAGTTTTTAATATGCATTCAACACCTATCTAACACCTAGGGTACTGAAGAAACCTACATGAGCACAATATTTAAAACAAAACCTCTCTTCCCCCCCCCCACAAATAAATGCAGAATAGAGACTAAAGAGATGCCGGGGCCATAAAATGTGAAATATTGACCATTGGAAGCAAGTGCTGTTTTCAATGAATCAACTTTCAGACTATTTTTTCTGCATCAGGATGAGTAGGACTTTAGAATCTAGATTCTCTGCTTCCTACAGTAAAACATGGTATTGTTTCAGTTATGCTTTTGGCAGTTATATTGTGGTTTGTAGCAGGTCTTGTGATCATCTTCATAAGAAAGAATAAATATTGTTGAGTATATAAATATTTTAAGCCATCATGTCCTCTAGCACAGTCGTATTTCCTGAAGGAAACTGCATTTTTAAGATGATAATGCTAAATGCAACAAAGTTCAATCATATCATTGGGCCACTATCGTCTTTGCTGGAAAATTCTGTGGGTAATATTTGAGAAAGAAAAGCAAGTGATGGAAGCTGGGAAAATAAACTTTGGGAGTTGTTAAAAAGTACGGCTAAGTAGTAAACAGCATAAGAAGGTCAAAATTATTAGTAGTATCAGAAATACGGAACATAAAATTAAAAATATATATTCCAGAAATCAAAGATCAGTCTTCAGTTATTTTTCTGTGTAGTAGTGTGATATTTATTTTCCTATATTATTCCTTTACATAAGAACTGTAAAATATATTTAAATGCTTATAGGAGATTTTTGTTGATAATTTTGTTTCATTTACCATATATTTCCGTGTCTAAGCCAGAAATTTTTGGAACATTTTCTAAAGCTAAATTGAGGGAGTTGGCTCCTTCTTATCTCGAAAAAAAAAAAAAAATGTATGTACTTTTCTGTCAGCCAGCTGCAAGTGGTAAATAGCCAAACATAGCACTTTTTATTTTTTTCTTACGTATTTCTTAAAATTATAAAAAGAACTAAATGTAAAGAATTGTTTCCTTTGTGAAAATGGGTTGTTTTATTTGTTACAGTGCTGGTTTGTTGTCAAAATGCAAACCCTGATGTTGGTGAAATTTGTGCCCGGCTTATGGAAAATGATATATGTTACCTGTTTGGATTTTGGCATCTATGCTAATTCAAGACATTTTTTCTTTCGCTCTCGAACTTGTTTTTTAATTAGGATAAATGGCATGCAGCCATATTATTAGAATTTTTAGCAGATGTGATCTATTGTTTGAAATTTCCGTATAAGACTTCCTGCTAATCCTTCAGACAAAAGTAACATAGAATAAGACTGGTACAGATAATAATAGACCATTTAAAAGGTTATTTGATAAAGGCAAAGTACATGAGGGCTATTTGCCTAAGGGAAAGGATGCCTTTGTGGAGGGCTTTCTACAGGAAACTGGCCAAATCCATGTTACACGTGCAGAAGATCACAAAAATGCCAATGCAGCCAACCCGCTCACTGGAATTCGAATACAAGATTGAATGTTCAGTGACATTACCATTCAGCCACTGGCAGACAATCATGTATAAGACAACAAACGGATGGGGAAAATGTGCTAGCTTCAGATAGGGTTACCACATTTAAACCTAACATCTTTGATGCTTGGTGTTTTACTTAACAGCAATTTGATTAGATAACATTCTACCCAATTTACTAGCTTCGCATCATTTTCACCTTTATCGTAGCATGTTTGAATGCTGCAGGGTTGTCCCCCCCCATTTCGGCTTATATACGGGTTTTGAATTTTGGGTAAATTGTTGCAGATGAAGTGCATTTTTGGCTCATATTTAGAAATATACAAAATTTAAATATTTTGCTGTTTTGTTTAAAAAAATCACCTATTCTTAGAACTGTACTATATGATATTGGAGTCATAAGAATGGATCTTATTGGGAGGCTATTTTTTAATGAGATTTTTGACTTTATATTATTAATTAGCAAAGAATAGTTAATTCCTAATTATGCATTTATTTTTGTAACAGTTTTTAACTATGTTATGTTTGTTTTAGGCTGAAGGACTAAGGTTAAGATCCCGTGGTAACCCTACGAGTGATGCAGGTTCACAACTTAGTAGCAGTAACCTAGGGAGCTCAAAAGATATGCATCCTAAACCTCAATTTGATGACAGGCTTCAAGAACAGCCACAGTCTCCAATGTTGTATTTGGCAGTTATTCTCACCATCGGTTTGGTGGGGATCTTCATCGGAAAATTTGTTGTTTAGACCCATCTTTTGCACCTTCCCGTATTTTTTCAAGCTACTGGTTTGTTTGAGAAGTAGAAGTTGCCTGAAGAAAAAATGCAATCAATAACAACATTGGATGTAGCGCCAGAATAAAAATAGAAATTAAATGTGGCAACTACCAACTATATATTGCTTTTCATTTTTTACTAGGGATTTTTTGCCACCGCGTGTCTTTTGAGAATAATTTTGTCTGCAAACTGTGTTTTTTACAACTCCAAAAACTTCATCCAAAAAAATACTTTAAAGTTCCAAGTTCTGATGCCTTTCAAAAGCAGTTTTACCATGTATGTGCTTCTTGTTTTTGAATGCCATCTGTAGAGATAAGTAAATACATAAAAACATTGCATTATTTTATGATAAATCAATTTTTTTTTTTTTTGTTTGTTTGTTTGTTTTAACAGTCTCAAGTTTCTGTCAGTATTTTATTGCCATTTGAGGCAACAGATTTTGTAATTGCTTTGAAAATACATGGCAATCTAAACCTCAGGCTTGTAGTTCATTAAATTCACTGCAACATTTTGCAGTTTGGTTGATGAAAATAAGTTGATGGCTAATTAAAGTATAATTTAATCCAGTCAGGTGTGCTACATACAAAGTTTTTTTGCTGACTCTTCGAAATGTTCCTTGTGGAATCCTCTTTTATCTAAAAAAAAAAAAAAAAAAAACATATATATATATATATCTATATAACAATCCAAATGACAACGTTTGATGTATTTTCATCTCCTGATTAATTCTCCTGAGTATGTCAGTGTTGAGACTCAAAATAATAAATTTGTTATGGAATACTGAGCTTATTGTTTTAACTTTATTGATTACGTTACTAGCTTTTACCATGTCTGTCATAAATTTGGATCTATAGATTTGCATTAATATGTAAATATGCTTAAAACAAGTGCTTATTTAAATAGACTATTAGTAACTTTCATTCATTAAATACAACTTATAGATAACTTATGACATATATCTTTGTATTTTTTATATTCGTTAAGAAGAAATTGTCTATTGTCATTATTATTATTTATTTCAGTCTTTATTTTTAGTTTAAAAAAATTATGCATTTAATGCATAATTTTTGTAATTATCCAAATTTTTACAGAAGTGATTAAACAATTAAAATTATTAATAAACAAATTTACTTGTCTAATTATGTTAATATTATAAAGGAATGAATGTGAACTTATTAATTTTTATTCCAAGATTTTGATAGTGGCATTCTATATAAATTGTTTTAGAATTTTAATTTTTATATATTTCAAGCTATATAGTTTAAGATACTTAAGAACCGAGTTACCTATATCCACTACTACTCTTATACCATAGAAAAAATAGTTTGTTGTATATAATTAGCTTTATGTGTATGTACATTCAGTTTGAAAATCCGGATTTATACATTTTATTCTTACTTGGAACTATGTATAAGGATTTATAATTTTGTATTGAAAAAATATTGATTATGTTAAACATTGATATAAATTCATAAATGAACTCTGGATTATATATATATGTTAACAAATTCTTTAGTATTTATTTTTAGAAAAGAATGCTAATCCGACAATTATTTTAAAGTTCTCTATGATATTTAAATAATGAGCCATTGTAAAATGTACATAAACTAGGGAGAATTCATTCGGGTTATTCTTCAACATAAATAAGAACTTTTTTGTACAAATTATATGAACTCAACTTCTATATAAATTTATTTTTAGAGCCAGTCTTTGAACAGATGTTAAATTATATAGCAAGTTCAGTATTGCATAAGAGGAACTAGTATTATGAAAAGAGCCTAACAGTTTTTCATGCCATCAATTTTGTTTTTGAACAGAAGAAGGTGTGTTTGATGAATGATGTAAATGTTTCATAAAAGAGCTGTGATTTGCATAATTTAGATTTGTTGAAGGGTAGTCATGATTGTCAAAAATATCTTAATATATAAAATATGATATAATACATAATCAGTTTCTAGAGAACGTCAATTGAAAAGAAAATCAGGTCTTGAAATATAGAAGTGATATTTGATATTCTCATTAATATAGATGTATTTATGTATACATGATCATAGCAATGGAAATACCTTCCTTATTAAATATTTACTTAAAATTGTTATTGTTTTTCTAAAGTTACCTTTTTGATTATTCATTAAAATTTGGAAATTGTGCTTATAGATTTCAACTGAAATTTGATTTCTACGTAGAATTGTAACATCAGTATACATAAAATCATTTGATTGGGTGACTGTAAGTTGGTGCTAATCTGTTATTATTCTCTTTAATGATCTGTATTAACACTTGAATGACCACATGTGTGATAAAAGCAAAATTATCTACTGCCCGTATCATCATCTAATTCTTTTATATTACTCAGCAACATAAGAGTTCATCAGTTTCTTCCCACTTGTATTTTGAAGAAGTTCAAAAGTTTCACATTGCTCATATCATCATCATCATCATCTGAACATACCAAGTGTTCTTATTCTTCAGAATCTTAAAAGTCATTTAAAAATTTGAATAAGTCTTTAGTGCATTCAATTTGCAAATACTTTTTCTTCTTGTTTTCAACTATCACAGGCTTAACAATGGCTTATTAAATAATTTACTGAAATTAGAAGTTGGAAAGTATGATGCACAAATGGCATGCCACTGGCTTGTGCACGACTTTAATGTGTGATCAACACATTACCAACGTGGTAGCACTGACCTTGGTACATTACTTTATATATGATATCAACTTGGTAACATTGACATATATTTGTCTTTTTACACATATCATCAGTGTGGTGATGTGGGCATTTATTCGCCAGCTTTACATGTGACACTGATGTACTATTAAATGACAAAATGTTGAGAATATTAGTGATTGCTGACATCTTTCACAAATTTATATTACATTGAAAGCCATTTAAACAGATTTTACAAAGTACTTTCTGCCCTTCTATATAGATGTCCCTGACATAAAAACACTCTATGATTTTTGACTGTTTTACTTCCTTATTATGGGGAAGAAATATAAATGGGGAATGTGCATATAAATTTTAAACCATTCAGAAAAGTAAGTAGGCTTTGGGGGGGGATGCTCGCATTGTGTGGAAAAACTTTTCATTTTGCAAAAGACATTTAGAGCAACATTGCATAATTTGTAATAAATGTTACTTTTGTAATGCTTCAAATAAAATTAAATACTAACATTGGATTAAAAAAGGTTAATTATTAATTATTTATGCACAACTACATAGTATATTGACTTCTAAAAGACATTGTTCATTTTTGAAGGATAATGATTAAATTTGTAAAAGAGGGCTGACAGAACAGTTACTTTCAGAAGAGTGAAAAACAGTTAACTACCAGCCGTAGAGAACAATGGTTTGGTTTATTTGATTATGGCAAAGTATTGAGTGTTATCTGACTTCGTGGAGAACTTTTTTAAGGCAGACCGGTTCATAGACGTGTTACACATAGGAAAAACCATAAGAACGCTCATGCAAGAAGCCTGTTCACAGGACTACCAGTATTCAGTGACTTTATCACTTGGCCGCTGGTGGGCCCCAAAAAGAACATCAAGTTGGTAAAATTGTTTCAGATTGCCAAGTAAAGTATTTTTCTCAAAGACAAAAGATTACAGTAATTGATTTCCTTTCTTTTTATGGCATAGATTATTATTGATTTATAGATATTCCTTTTATGATTTAAAACTTAAAGAATAAATTTTCTATTTTTTGATAGGATTGATATTTGTTTTTTTACTTTCCCTGACTTTTTAGGAAAAATAGGAAATTAAGAAAAGGAATTTTTTTTAAACAAACACATGGCTGGATATTTTTTTCACTGATTTTCAAGGACAAGTAAATAACCTGATTTAGGAAATAGTTTTGAATATTAATGTAATCACATTCAAAGTTTTTAAAAACTCTCCTGTATTTAATTAATAATTTAATACAGCTATAATTAGATACTGATGAAGCGAATAATTCTTGAAGTTGAAAATGGTTTTCATTAGGGATTAATAAACTGACAAAATACAGCAGTGAAAAATATGAAACAGAGGAAGAAACACACACTTGGACACAAAACACTAAGAAAGTTCACTACAAAGAAATTGACAAAAGCATTTCCTATTCCAGAGGTGTTAGCATGTTGGGAGGGGGGAGACTGCAATTATGAGAGATTTGCTTGGAATGACTTTCAAGTGTTCTACATAAAGTGCTTAGAAAAGTAGTTACTGTTCGAGTGTAATGTTATGAATGGGCATAAAAATAAAACCATGATCTATATTGATATATATTTATAAGAAAAGTAAACTGTTGCCACACAGGTTGCAAAAATATAATGGGAAATGTAATCGCAGATATAAAAATCACTTGGAGCGCTCCCACTTGATTACATTTTCCTCAGTCTTACACTGAACCTTTGGTTTTCCAAGGCTTTCTTCTACACTCTCAGTCAACATGTCTGCTGCATTTGAACTGGAAGGCACATAGATAAAGTTCAACAACTTCTCTTCAGTCTTCGCTCAGCTTAATTAAGCCTTGTTCCTTCTGCTAGGTAAAAAAAAGTCTTCCAGCAACCTATTCTATATACAAGGTGTGGCTATTAATTTTCAGGACTGCTCTAATAAAACCAGAACAGAGGATGTGAAAAACGTAACCTTTTAATATGTTTCGAAGTAATCCCCATCTGCCGTAACACACTTCTGTGTTCGGCTGAAACAACTTTTAAAGACCTCTTTCGGAAGATTCTTCAATGTCGACGTCACATTCTTCTTGATGTTTTCAACATCCACAAAGCATTTTCCTTTGATCACAGTTTTGAGTTTGGGAATGTTTGATCATACTCTCTTGACTTGGTCCCCGCAGACTTCTTTTTTTTTTCTCCCAAACTCAAAACTGTGATCAAAGGAACACGTGTTGTGGATGTTGAAGACATCAAGAAGAACGTGATGTCGACGTTGAAGAACCTTCCAAAAGAGGACTTTAAAAGTTGTTTCCACAACTTTACAGCCGAGCACAGAAGTGTGTTACGGCAGATGGTGATTATTTTGAAACATATTAAAAGGTTACGTCTTTCACATAGCTGTTCTGGTGTTATTAGAGTAGTCCTGGAAATTAATAGCCACACCTTGTATATATATATATATATATATTTTAGACATCCAACATGTTATCCTTAATGACTGGTGTATATTTTATACCTGGGTGTCATGGTGTTGATACCCTTTTAGCATCTAACATATCGATTGTTTCTAAGAGCTCACTAGCATAGGTACTTTGATTGAGAGTCATTGAGCCATCTTTCCTTCTATTTATCCTAATTTAAAGAAGGTGATGTATTTCTCTAAGTTCTCGAATTTAAATGTGGCTGCGATATTATCCTTAAATTCCTGAATGATGGATACTGCTGAACATTACAGGGAGGTCATACACATACACACCTATGGTTAACTCCTTTTCCTTATTGAAGTAAAGACAAGGGTCTGCTCCAGATCTTGTTAGGTTAGCTGACTTCAGAAATTTTTCCAGGCAGATGTCCCGTTATTTCCCAGAATGATGAAATGCATAAAAACTTCTCTTCAAACTTCTCCACATGATGTCTCGTGCAGACTCACTGGTGGCTGTTTTATGAAAATTGTCTCATTTAATTTTCCATTTAAATAGGCTGCAGTTAATGTCCAGCTGATGAGCCTGTCAGTCTTGATCAACTGAGAATGCTAATAAAGTTCTAACTGTGTTTTTATTACAGGAGGAAATGTCTCCTTTTAGTCAGTTTCTTCAACTTGGATATAGCCACAAGCAACTAAGAGCTAGCTCTATATCTTTGCACCTGTCCATCTTTATTAAGTTTTCCCTTGACCCACTTGCATTTCACAGCTTTCCTTTCTTTTGGCTTAGGCACTATGTCCTAAGTTTCATTTTCTTTTAAATTTTCCAATTCTTCATCCATGGCTAACTTCCATTTTTCTGCATCTAGATTTTTTAATGCCTCTTCCAAAGTATCAGGATTGTTCTTGAAAACTTTTGTGAGTGTTAAGTCTACATTTCTGTTTCTTGAATTGTCAGCTGCACTTCAACAATTCCGTTTAGAGGATTTTCTTCATAAATCTCTGAATTTCCCATGATATAATCATTTTTCTACTTAGGTGCTGAAATTTGTTTTCTGGCTCAAGTCTTTTCTAGTATATCCTCCACTTCCTGTTTGGAGGCTGTTTCCAGCATCATTTTGGAGGGGCAATATTATATTTCCTGTCGTAGAAGGTTTCTCTTCAAATATGACATCTCGGGGACAGATTACTGTACTGGTTTTCTTGATGTAAATGCAGTACCTTTCATCTCCATCATACCCAAGAAGATAAGTCTTTAGTTGCCATTTTGTTCATCATTCCCCTCTTCTGAACTGGAACATAAGCATAGCAGACTGACCCAGTGATGCTCATATGAATTATTCTAGATTTCTTCCCCATCCATAATTCGTAAGGACTTGAATTAGGAACTGCTCATCCTATTTAGTATGTAAATTGAAGTGCTGATGAACTCTGCCCATAGAAAAGCTGGAAAATCCACTTCGAATTCGAATATTTGAGAGTTCTGGTCATGTCAAGAACTGTTCTGTCATTTTGCTCTAATGGAGCTGTGAGCATCTGCAAGATTCCATGCTTGTTCAAGATCTTTCGAACAGCTTGGTTGTTAAAGTCTCCACCATTGTCACTGAAGATTTCTTTAATTTTATGCCCTAAGCTCTTAGCATGAACTATGAAATTTTCAAGTACATCCTTTACTTCTGTTTCCAAACTTTAAACGGTGGCCTTTTTCATATACACAGGTTTCACATCATTATCAGACTTAATATTCAACTCTTTCACAAGAATGGCATTTACATGCTTTTTATCTTGGTGACCCATCCTTCATTATAAAGTTGAAGAGTTGATTCATTATTCTCAGTCACATGTATGTCAGTGTGAGTTTCAAGAACTAAGGTCTTTATCATGGCTTTGAACCTATGATGGAAGACACTACCCTACCAGCATTTCTTGTACCATGTAGAACTATTTTACAATCTATTTTTAAATAGTAGTCTTTAAATGTTGATTCAATCTTGAGTTAACACGAAAAATAGATTTTTACTTATTTCTGAAACATACCTGACATTTTCAAGATTTTTTATTTTATTCATCCCATTTACAACGGTCATTGTTTTGATAGTACCTTTTTCTGGTAATGACTTTCCATTTGCTACAGTGATGCTATGGGGAAGCTCAAATTTTTCAAAATCTATAGAGCAGTGACTGTTATTGACAATGTGTTTTGAGGCCCCATTGTCAGTCATCAGAATTTGTTTCAG